GTCCCAGTCCCAGTCAGTCCTAGTCCAGTCAAGCAAGTACCATACGGGACTGTGTGCACCACGGGCATGGGAAAGGGCCAGACCAACGAGCTACAGAAGTATAAATCAAGAGGCAGCGCCCAGCCATTCGTTCATTCCTGCGTAAGCCATGCGGAAGCGCTGCCACAGCGACTTGTGCGAGGTGGTCTGCAGTGGGCCCAAAGACGAAGTGGGCGAGAAGGAGAGCTTAGCCATAGCGATAGGAGTAGTAGCGGCCATAGCCGCCATACCTGATAGAGGAGTGCAGTGTGTGTGTGTGTGTGCGTGTGTGTACAGTGTGACGCGTGTGGGATATCCAGGGTGATCCTGTGTGTGTGAACAGAGAGTTGTACAGGCGCTGTGCCGCCATAGCCGTTTGAAGTGAACTTGTATCTGAACTGCGTTCTTGGTTAATATATCTCTGAGTTTTGAGTGGGCGCTTGTCGCCAGTTTTCTGCGCAACCTGTTAACATGCATGTGGAGTGTGAACGAAAGCGAGTCCGATTGCAATAGGGGAGACGAATAAGGTATTAGCTTCGTTGGAGCTGGGATATAGTCTGTGGGCCTCTGAGAGGGGAAGGACATGTTATACAACTTAACTTGTTTAAAGACTGCAGTGCAATCGAACTCGACTTCTTCACACTTGTCATGCATGCAAACAGCGAAACAGCAAACTGGCGACATGTGCCCACACAGTACTCAAAGATATCGTAACCAGGTAGGAGTTCTCTTCAAACTAGCTATGGCGACTGAGCGCCCACACAACTCACTGTTTGCACTCTGGATTACCCTGGATGTCCCACACGCCACACTCTGGACATACACACAACACACACACCTATGCTACTATAGCTATGGCAGCTATGGCTGCCACTACCCTACCGCTACACTACGCTTCTCTGCCCACTTCGTCTTCGGGCGCACTGCAGACCTCCTCGCACAAGCTGCTGAGGCAGCGCTTCCGCATGGCATCCGCAGGAATGAATGAATGGCTGGACGCAGCCTCTTGATTTATACTTCTGCGCTGCGTTGGTCTGCCCTGTATCCCTGGCCGATGGTGCACACAGTCCCCCCCGTGGTACTTGCTGGACCGGACTGGTACTTTCTAGACTCTCCCATGACTGCATGGCGACGACCCTACGACGCAGTGCAGTTGCACTGGGGTCCTACTATTTGCCCTTGCCACTTGTCCTCGTCTCCAACATGGGCTTGCTTTAGTCACACCACTTGCCCACTTGCCTGCCTTCTAGAAGGACTGCAGCTAGCCTTCTAATCTACAGGTCTACGGATCGAATCCTGGCTTCCTATAGACCTACGACAGACCTACCTACCACTGGCGGTTCTACAGGTCGCAGGTTCAACTCTTCGAGTTGACGCAGGTATTGTACACAGGTAAGTTGGGGAACTAGGGATCGAGCCCGGGGATCTGCCTCAGCTACCACAAATTGGTGAATACCGTTTCAGCAGGACTGGAACAGGTTCAGGATGCTTGAGTGACAATCCAATCCTGGCATTTTTGAGGGGTAGGGGGTACTCCATGTATGGGAATGTGATGAAAACTCTGTGAGTGAACATTGCAGGTATTTGTTGCTCAGGCCTCAGGAGGTGATGGAGGCGATTTGCAAGGCGGTTGACGTGAAGGGTGGTTAATTAGGTGCTGTACAGTTTCTGTTTCACATTCACTTTAGGTGCTATTCAGCATTGATGATATTTCGTCTTGTGCCCACATTTGCCATTCGTGTGTCATGGCCATGAGTTCCAAACTGTAACAGTAATTTTTTTGTGTCGTGGAAATGAGTTATAAACTGCAATAGTAAGAATAAGCTATTGTAAGATACTTTGCTGGGCTAACTCACATCGTTTAACGTCTCTCAGGTGCAGGGGAAGGGTATAACGAATCACTCTGGGATGCTTGCGGGAAAGGAGTGATTGTTTTCTTCCGTCCATTCATCGCAAAAAGCAACAGTGCACACCCCCAGACTCAGCTTATGCTGATGGCACCTGTCTACCGAACATATGAGTTAGGAACAAGCGAAAACGTTTCGGAAGAGCAGCGAATAGCAGGCTTGGCTGGAATCCTTGGGCTTGGTTTCTTCTTCGATCCAGTGATCAAAAGAATGCTGGCTCAGATTAAAGAGTACAAGGATGCACGAATAGCACTTGCGGATACAACGGATCCTGATCAGCCCATGCCCTTGGACATGGACAGCACGAGGGAATATGTGAAAGGTGTACCGTTCAACCGCTCCATGTTCACAGTTTCATCTGTTCTGGATTTGAATGTGACAGGAAGGTCTTATGAAGTCTGGTGTCAGTTTACGCATGAAAGGTACATTCTGCGGAGTCCTATTGAGTGGTCACTGGCATCATTGATCATCTCTGGGTTGATGGTTTACATACTGAGGGCTGGTGTTCTCCGTATGGAAGCTATGCAGAAACATGTGCAGAGGGTGGAGGTCCTGAACAACGAGCTTAGCCATGCGAAGGAGGCTGCTGAAGCTGCTGATTTGTCAAAGTGAGCTGATGGACTGATTTCTTCCTGGAATGGAGGTCGATTTGCTTATTCTTTCTCTCTATTCTTCTTGGCCAATCCTATTCCCCCCCCCCACCCTCCCCCCCTTTTTACTCAATCTTGGTCTTTGACCTGTCCTTCCTTGTCCGTGTGCAAGGCCTTGCACTGAGGACCACCCATCACTCTGCTCCCGCTGCTGAGGGAATATTTATTTTTTATTTTCCCTGTATCCATCATTTTTTGTTACTTTTGCGACCATTTCTCGATTTGTATGTGTCACCTTGTGCAGGGGCCATGCTCTGTATCGTGGAATTTTAAAGGATGTCCTGCAGGGGCTCCTGTTCCCAATCCTGTGCTCCCTAACATGAAGACTGATCACTTGTACCCTCTGCCCTCTGAACACTCTGCTGTTGCATGCAAGCATATGAGCTTCTTGTTCCCTTACATCTTGTATCAACCATGTGGCTGAATGGTACACACACCTATCTGTTGATTCACACATCATTAGTTCAAATCCAGTTGTGTACACTAATCCTAGGAGCTAACCCCTGTAGGGGCCTTCAATTGGCATGTTTGTTGCAGGGACAGATGCTTAATGTGGCTGTGTCAATTGAAGGTCTTATTCTGTTCAAAATCACTCTTTTAATCAGCTGGAAAACTAGAATCTGGACTTGTGCCCGATGATATGTTGCCTGTCACTTGATTCGCCAAGTCCATCCGCAGACCAAATGCAGCCACCATGCATGGCCAGAGGTCAAACTGATAACCCTTATTCGCGTTCTGGCCAGTCTGCCACTTTGCGAACCTCTGGTGAAGCAATTCTGGCCAGTCTGCCACTTTGCGAACCCTTATTGAAGCAATTCTGGCCAGTCCGCTACTTATTGAAGCAATTCTGGCCAGTCTGGCACCTTTTTTTTTTTTTTTTTGAATAAAAATATTAAAAATTGCTCCAATCTATTCGAGAGGAGCAGCACGTGCTGGGAACCGGCCCCAGCGTCCCTTATAATGGAAATACATTCATGATTGATGATCATTGATGATAATTTGGGATGATTGAGGATCATTTAGGATGATTTGGGATGATTCAGGATGATAAGAGATAGATGATGATTAATCAGAATGATTGTCTACTCAGCACTCAAATACAATCCTATGATTCCTATCCCTAATTTCCTGTATCCATTCCAGCCAACCAATCTCAACTGAGCCTGTGCTGTGCACCAATCAGGCCTCTTCCTGGTCTCACACCCCAATCTGGCTTGGTTACAGGGCAGCCCTACCCACCCCAGCTCTGACCATCGTCGGCTAGATTGTAGCCATTAGTCAAGTTTGCAGATCGCCTCTCCCTCGGCAATCCCAGACCTCTATACAAAGCCTCAAGCTCCTACTCAAGCAGGTTACAGGGCACCGCCCCAGCGCCGGCCAGTGTCGTTCTGGCGCCAACGCAACCTGGCCATTACACAAAAAGGCTCAATTAGGAAATTAGCTAAGCTAGAATGCCAATTAGAAATCTAGGATCTGATAATATCAGACTCCTGATGAAAAAAACTTTCTGATGATGAAATTTGACGAGTACCCTGAGATCACAAAGATGATGTATAACGTTGAGGATGATGATGACTATTCCTCTCCACCCCTCCCCTTCTTCCATGTACTACCCTCCTCTCCCCTCGTTTCCGGTTCTCCTCTTCTCTCTCGCTGCCTCCGCTGTAGTCTGGCACATTGAGAACCCTTGTTGAAGCAATTCTGGCCAGTCTGGCCAGTCTGGCCAGTTTTGGCCAGTTCCGCAAATTCTCTCCCCACCAGGGCTGGACTGGTGCCCTGCCCAGTTCTAGCCGGCCAGTTCAACCAAGGCCGGTGCGGTTCATGGGGTGGGATTGCAGGCGCAACAACAGAAGAAGAAGACATTGCAGGAGCAACAACAGAAGAAGAAGACAACAATGAAGGATGAGGAAGAGGAGGAGAAGGTGGTGGAGGAAGAGGGGAGGGCAATGTCGATCGGGGGAGCTTCGCATGGGAATTTGGGGGAGCGAACTTGTTTATGAAAAGAAAATGAAAGGATTCAAGTGGTTCAGTTGCCCACCCCCAGTACTGCGGGAGATGGTTAGTGGAAGGCCCAAAATCCGGGGGGGTTCGCCGCATCACCACAAGCAATGTCGTCGAAAATTTCGCCAACAAACAATGCAGGCTCACAATACAAACATCAAAAAAAACAAAAACAGGCAAAATAAAATCCTATGCGGAGTAGCTTTTATGGCAGTTCTGGTGAAAATTTTGCTGAAAATGACACCACCCATTATCCAGTAGTGAGTACCGCAGCACCGGGTCCCATTTTCTTTTGTATCACGGGGGCGCACTTAGAACTTTCCAGAAGACAATAAAGTAGAAAATAGAGTTCTGGCAGCAGCGGCAGGATAAGGCCCAGGAACAGTAGAAGTCCCTAGCAGTCAGTCAGTATGGAGTCGCCACGTGTCCACTCCCAGGGTCCAGTCTCAGCTCAGTCCCAGGGAAGGCCCACGACAGTCCGAATCTTTGTCGGCGCGGCAGGGCCTGACAGGCATGGCCACAAGCCATATGGGAGGCACCCCCTGCACAGGACAAACGCAGCCTGGCAGTGAGGATCTGTGTCTTTCTTCAGTTCAGCACATGTGCAACAAAAGAAGAAAACGATGAAGGAGGAAGAGGAGGATATGGCAGTGGAAGAGGGGAGGGCAATGTCGATTGGGGAAACCTTATGTGGGAATTCGGAGAACCAACTTGTGTTTAGGAAGAAGAAAATGAATGGATTCAAGTGGTTCAGCCGCCCACCCCCAGGGACGCAGTACCGTGCCCCATCTTCTTTTGTATCATAGGGCCACACTTAGAACTTTCTGGTAGACACTGCAGCAGAAAATAGAGATCCAGCAGGACAGGATGACACTGGTCGGAGCTGGGGCGAGTTGTGTTGCCCTGTAACCCAGCAGGGTGAGGGCGTGAGGCCTGGAAGAACTCAGCAGGGAGTAAGACGGTGTTGGGAAGTCTTGGAAGGGTTTGTCAGGGAACCTGAGAGTAGTGAGCATTCGTAGGACCCCTGTTTCACAGTTTGTTCTCAACCGAAGCCGGGTAATGGCCCCAGTATCTCAATGATCTTTATAATTCGTTATGGGACGCTGGGCCCGGTTCCCAGCACGTGCTGCTCCCCACGAATAGACTGGAGCATTTTGTGAGGATTGAGCCCTCAAAGGGGCCTTGCCGTGATGTACATGTTCTGGGCTAAGGCCCCCAGCAAGCCTCGTGCCCGCCCTAAGTGAAGGCGGGCCAGCAAATCAACGAGAGCCCCTTTGTACAAACATTTCACGAAGTGGGGTCCATACAGTTGCCGCATGCCAGTTGGTTGGAGTGCACCGAGTACCGGATCTCTGCAAATGCAGAAAGACCAGGGCCCCAAAATTGGTTAGGCCCTGGGCACATAAACGTGAGGCCGACATTGCATGTTGGATATAGAGGCCGGAAATGCCAATGGGAAACCGGTCCACTATCTGAATCTGGACGTAGGCCTTGATGAAAGAGGCGCAACTGTATTTCGTGGGCCCCAACCGCATTGGGCCTGGGTACAGGTACTGGGGCCCAGGCGCAGGCTCAAGGGAGGCCGCCCACGCGCAACACTGGCATATAGGCAGAGAGGGCGAGTGGGCAGGGATCTTGGCCATTGCGAGCAATGCCGGCACGCTGAAGCACTGCGAGGTGCTGCACTGGTGCTGCGCTGCGCTAGGCTGAGGTGAGGCAGGCTGGCGGTAGGGCGCAGCCTGGGCGCAGGGCGCTGGCGGCCATAGCCGGGCTGCCTGGGGGCGCAGAGGGAGCTGAGGGTGAAGGTGGTTCTTCGGAAGGTGAAGGGCGCTGTGTGGGATAACAATGGAGAGTGAGGGTGAAGAGAGAGACGTACCTGGTGTAGAGGAGGTCGGCATTGGAGTTGACGTCATCCTCGCTGGTCGTCAAGTTGTCTGGTTGCTTCCATGCTGTAGTTGTTGTGATAGGCTGTAGAGTAGATAGGGTGCCTGGCGCCATTCAAGACAGAGAGCTACATTGGGTTATGCTGTTGGTGTTGCCCTATTGGGCTCTGACATTGACTCACGAAAATGAATGGTTACTTGGTTCCATTGTGCTATCTGCTCTTGCTTTGACTACTTGGACTTCAGTGTGATTATGCAATTTGGATTTCTGTTCTTCGTCCACATTCATGTTCCTTGCATTTTGGTATCAGAGCTGGTTCGATTCGCTACTTACCTTGGTGCGCTGGCGTTATACAGACTTTGTGCATTGACGATGCTTCTTCGCAGTTGGTTCTTGTGACGTCAGGCCGAAAGTAGGCGCACGACCTGGGTAGAGAGGTGTGCGCCGGAAGGCTGTATGGCTTGGGATGCTGTGGTGACGGCGGGATGTATGATTGGTGATGAGAGCATGCTGATGTGGCATTTGGCTGAGGTGGCACTGCATTGTGTTGTGGGTGGTACCGAGGCTACGACCGGTCATCAAATGCACACTCAGCTCAATTGGTGAGAAATCTGTGGTTGGGGGCAGCTATCTCCAGGTACGTTGTTCCCTTACCTTATCTACTCTCTCAATCTCTTCTTACCGCGAGGAAGTGAGTCCAACTTGAGAGTCCTCTCTTTTGGTGAGGTGTCGTGAGCGCTCTACCTTGAGAGACGACAATCTTCCCGGTGGCGCATGTGGAAGGAGAAAGGGCGGTGCCTCTGAAGGGCCCTGGTCGAAGCACGTGGGTCACGGTCACCATGCCAACCCAATGGGAATAGTACACGCATGCGATGGCTGCTTTGTCCATGAGGGCACTTTTGCTGCGCTGATAGAGGGGTGTGCGGACTGAACAGGCTTATGCAGACGCTCCCAGACCGTCTATAAACATTTCTGGATGCGGTTCCGATCTGATAACTGATCGTCATCCTGATTGCGACGTTAAATAATTCTTGAGCGACCTTGGGGGCAGTCCATAAATAGGCCTCTTGATC